ACTGAAAGATCAACTCCACCTGCACCTTGATACTTTCCTCCAGGTTGGTCTGTTATAAATGTGAAGTAGTATTTACTTTGATCCTTTTCTCTCACAGTCTTAAATCTGAGAGTGCAGTCACTGTGTTCATCTCCGAGGTACAGAACTCTGCCTCTGTACTCTGGATCATCTGACAGATCAGGAGGTTCTGAACCAGATGTAACCAGCTCTTTAGTCCAGAAAGCTTTTTGGACTGAGTGATTACTTGGATATGTGTAAGTGCACTCCATGGTCACTGCAGACCCCTTTAGAGCACAGATAGATTTAGAGTTGTAATTTACAGCCCACCAATCCTGAGTAACAACTCCTGCAACACAACATACAGAAATGTGTAAATTATTACTGTTTGGGTCTCAGTCAGTAAAAATGCTGCATAAAGTCTCCACTTCAGCTCATTTTGAGATAAAAGCACAAAGCAGAAGCTCCTTACGTCTTGCAGTATTTTATTACAACTGACCATGATATCATACATAAAAATAAACTCATAACTGTACAGAGTTCAGTGAGAAACAGCAGAAACAGCAGAGAAACAGTCAGAGACATTCTGAGTGAGATCAGCAGTTCAGCCTGTATGATCACAATATTTAAGATAATGTTAATTTACTGAGTTATTTATGTAAATTCAAGGATCATCAATATGTCTATATCTGCCAAAGCACTTTCATAGTGCAGATAAAGCTCAGTCAGCAGAAAGAAAGCAGGTAGAGTTCATACATTCACTTAGTTCACTGTCCATTGAACACTGTGAGTCTCATGTTTAACAGGCCTCATATTGGTGCTGCATTGATATTACATGCACTTTGTTACTAGAGTGTCTCAGTAAATATGTTGTAGCAGAATCACCAAAAGACCAACAGTCAAACTACACTTGTTAACCTAAACACAACACAAATATCAGTATCAGTTCACTTCTCTGTCCATTAACTATGAATTAATGACTCTTTACTGATTCCAAAAGCACTAAGAGTGTTTCCTACCTGTACACTGTAGACAGTGTGAGTGACTCCAACTGACCAGCAGCTTCATTTCCTCTCACTAGAACTTCCCCACTTAGGAGCCTGTGTGGTGATGATGTCAGAGTAGCTTTGTCATCTCCTGTTGGTCTGTACTGCCATCTAGAGGAATGTAGCATAATTTCATGCACACTGTACTACAAGGCCCAGCAGCTCACCTGACACTTCATCCATCTTTCTCTTCTGCTCACTCATATTTCAGTTACCAGTTAACAATATTGCTTACTTGAGAAATAACAAATACTGTTGTTATTTCAGTAAGAAATGTATGCTGATAACATGTGATGAGTGGACATCTATTGCCACTGGATCTTATTTCACTGTAACTGTGCTTTTCATCACAGATGAGTACCAACATGTGCCTCGTGCTCCAAACAAGAGCAATGAATCAGAGCCTTCTAGTTGACTCGTCACATCGAGTTGATTTATTAATAAAAATATATTTTAATAAAATATATTGGAAGTAAATTCATTATGGATCATTACAAATACTGTAATGTAATGTAAATGTAAAGTCCTCAGACAGTGAGAAAATAGAAATCCAGTATAGAAAAAAAATCTGCATCAAGATGCATCGATAATCATTTTATAATCGCATTGCAGCCTCTGAATCATAATCGAATCGTGAGGTGTCTAGAGATTCCCACCCCTACCTGCCACAGAGCCTGACGATCCAGTTCTACACATCGATCACCAAGTCCATCCACACATCATCAATAACTATCTGGTTTTGTTCCTCCACCTCAAAAGAACGAGCCAAACTCCAGCACATAATCAGGACAGTGGAGAGGATCAGTGCATGTAGTCTGCAAGCGATTCAAGACATCTATAACAGCAGAGTGACAAAGCACGCTGGCAAAAGTACAGCTGACCCCTGTCATCCTGGTCATCACCTCTTCCAGGCACTTCCCTCTGGCAGAAGAATTTAGGACCATCAAAATCAGCAAAACTGAAAACATGCTAACAGCTTTTTCCTCAGAGCTGTAGCCCTCATTAACCACAGTAGACACCTCAGACATTAAACTTGAACTAAATCCTTTTGCTCTTAGGGAGTTTTACATTGCCACTGTCGCCACTGGTTTGATCATGAGGACTCAGACCCGATTTTTTTCTGTAAAGCTATTTTGTGACAATGCCTGTTGTAAAAAGCGCTATATAAATAAACTTTGACTTGACTGAACCATCAAATGTCCTTACTGTATTACTGTAACTCCTCTGTTACATAATTCTATTTGCACAACTGTACAAATGTTACAGTTCTGCAAATATTCATATTATTCTGTACATAACAGTTTTTATAGTATAAGTCATCAGACCTTCAAATCTATAGGTATTCTCCTCTGCATATGTGCAGATGTCCACACCATCACCTCCATGTATCTTTGTTCTTTATTCATTGAATTCCTATATTTTTTTTAATAGGTGTTCTTGTCTTGTCTGTTTAGTGTGTTACATTTTTTATATGTCTGCACCCAGCAAGACAAATTCCTTGTATGTGTAACATAATTGGTGAAATAAAATGATCTTGATTCTGATGTCAGAGTTGGTTCTTCATCTAATTTTGGTTTATATCGCCATCTAGAGTAAAGTAGTTATAATTACATGCACACTGTACTATAAGGCCCATCGCTGACTGACTGATATCTGGAGCTCTGTATCAGCTCACCTGACACTTCATCCATCTTTCTCTTCTGTTCACTACTATTTCAGTTATTAACAATACTGTTGCTATATTAATGAATGAATGCATTAAATGTTTAATTTGGTAACTTTTATAGTCTTGGATAAGGTGTACATGAGGAATATGTAGATCAGCTGAAGTTATTTAGGAGAGAAATAACACAGACATTTATCTGTCATCTAAAAAGCCTTTACTGTAAATATCAAACTTACATGAAAGAAAATGAAGGCACAACAAGTAAGAGAAAAGAAAAGAAAGACAAATATGCATTGTTATAGTCTTAATACTGCAGGAACGGTGCAAATTTATTAACATGAAACTAATCTGGAAATACAACCAAAACAAAAACCAATCCTGACTTCATTAGACTAAACTTACCACTGATCCTAAAAACAAGATACAAATGTTAACACTCTCAGTCTTTATTTAGAGCAGTGGTCCTCAAATCAGTCCTCAGGGTTCCGAAGATGATTCACATCCCTCAACAGAGAAGACATGTGGACTGTCTGAGGGGCTCTGAGGACGGGATTGAGAAATACAGCTTTAGAGAAGCATTTGTGTAAATAAGATGTGTTAGCACAGACGTTTACACATAGACGCTGCATTGGCCACAAAATTGTGCATCAAACGTTGCCGCCATATTGGTCCAGGCAACTTGTTTTTGGTTACATTTGACCATTATAACATTATGTTCAGAGCTAACTGGCCACCAGAGACAGTCCTCTCCTTGTTTTTCGCTCTTTCAGCCTTTGTTTTTTGTTCCATGTGCTTTTGATTACATAGGCCATGTGCTTTTCTTGTTGTTCTGGTCTTTGTCTCCTCCCTGCTTCTGCCTTTTTGTCATCTGTCTCACCTGTGTGTAGTCTGTAGCCCCCTTCTCTCATTAGACCCAGGTGTTTCTGGTTTATTCCATGTATTTATATCCCTGGGTTGTGTGATTTGTGTATGCTTGGTGTTTTGTTCTCTTAGGCCCTGTTTTTGGTATCCAGTTTGCTTCATGTACCTTTGTCTTTTCTTTTCTTTCTAAGTACTTTGTCATTAGTTTTCCATATTTGTTTAGTCACTTTGTAAATTCATTTCCTTCAGTGTTTTCAATAAATCAAAGGACCTGCACGTGCCCTGCCTCGTCATCTCTCTTTTAATAGCAAACAGTTAGCTTTTAATGCTCGTTACCTATGAAAGCTGAGGCTTAGAAATTATTTAAACTAAATAGCCCACACTCAAAATTTTCATCTACATTGGAATTTCTCTAAAGCGATTTTTATGGCAAGCTACTCTGAGTGACTGACATTATGAATCTGCCTTTAGTTAGCTGGCTAGCTAACTTTTCTCACACTTTGAAGGTTTGCCAAAAAAAAAAGAGTTGACGAGGCAGTGGGAGTTAACTTTTAGAAGAGAAGTCTTTTCCGTCAGTGAGTCAATTATTACTACTGAAATATGCACTATTTTGTTTTATTTCAGTATTTCGTAGTGAATGAACTGCGATGACCAGGAGCAAAAGAAAAGTTAAAATGATGAGGATGTAGACAGAAAAATTAAACGGAATTTGGCTTTGCATTTGCTGGCTTCTTATTCAGATTTTATGTTTTACCTTAAATGGTATTGCATTTACATTCTGGCGCCAGCACACTATTAAATAACTGCTGCATCATTTAAGGTGGAGCGGAAAAGTCAAGGAAAGTCATAAGAAGCCACTTTTAGCGTTGTTCCACAAGTGTCAATCAAGTTCATGTTAGTCTAACACTGATACGCACTCCTCTCTTCAGCATCTAGCAGCGATTATAACTACAGAGATTTGACGTAACTGAAGACGAAACTTTTTTGTACTCCATGTAGATGATAAACCCCTCAGTATAAAAACGATTTATTGAAATCAGATGAGAAATGTAAATGCAATAGTGCTTTTTATTATTTGTTTACAGGGCAGTCGTGCCTGGACCAATAAGGTGGGTGAGTTCAGCATGTAACGGGCATTTGTTAATAAGAAGGTAAAGTTCTTTAAAAACTTTTTAAAATAAGTTTTATAATCATGCGGGAAGAATGAAGAAGTACTGAAGGCACTTGATAAAAGTTTTCCTGAATACAGAGCTCAGACTCCTGAACTGTTCACTGAATCTGTACTATAATACTTCAAATATTTAAACATTGAGCCACAGTTAATCTCTCTCTCTCTCTCTCTCTCTCTCTCTCTCTCTCTCTCTCTCTCTGTTTGTCTCTCTCTCTGGGCGGATGTGTTCAGTCTGAGTGGTTTCCATGGTGACAGTCAGTCAGCGTTTGTTGTTTATAGCCTGAAAGAAAAAAAAAAAACACAGGAAACTAAAACAAACCAGTATCATCAGAAGGAATGAACAGTCTTTTTACGAGAAAGAGTGAATGAAGCAGAGGAGTAAAAATGAAGAAATGTGGTTCATCAGGGGGAGTGGGGGGTGGGGCAGGGTGGCATGATAGAGAGAGCTAGAGAGAGGGAGGGAGAGAGAGAGAGAGGAGAGAGAGAGAGAGTAGAGTGAGAGATAGGGAGGCAGAAAAAGGGGGAGAGAGACATAGTAGAGAGGGAGAGAAAGAAAGAGAGGCACAATAACAGAGAGAGGGGAGAGAGATGTGATAGAGAAAGGGGGAGAGAGAGGTGAAAGAGTGCACATGAGAGAGGGACACAATGTCTAAGTGCCTAAAATTGGTACTTCAAATGTACTTCACTGTAAAACAACAATCAACTCTTAAATGTGAGTAAACTGGCTGTTTTAAAATGTCAGGTTTACTGAACCTGGAGTAGTAAGTTACTATCAGTCAATCAACGTGTTACATTCTGTCTTTTCTAAAGTTCAAATTTAATGCAGCCAAATGTCTGACCTTTTTAAAGCTAAAACTCCAAATTTACAGTGTAGATAAAAAAAACAATCACTAAATTGAAAACCAGCCCAGCAGTCAGGCTGCACAGCTCTAACAGTGTTTATCAGGACACTAAAGGACCCAGACCTGCGTCATCTTCTATATCTAAAATATTGTTTCTTGTTTGTTTTTAGGGAAAGTGTGTTTTACTGAATGACTGTTGAGCTTCTGAAGTATATAAACCTGTAAATGAAAGCAGGACATTAGAGAGGAGACATGTAGAAGAGTCTGATGTGGGGATAGAGGAAATATGCACGATGGCATTAATGAGGAGACATCTCTGTTTTTTAAACAAGTTTGTCGATAAGATTCAATCAACATTTCTGAATCGGTGCATGTTTTATTATATATGTAGACCCTCATATTAAATAGAAAAGTACCAACTGCACATTTTAAAGGTTAATCAAAAAAATTCTGGGAGAGGATTTTACCAAAACAGTTCTACAAGGAACTGTGATCGTTACATGTATAGACAACAATACAGATGTCATAGCAATAAAATATATTTGAAATGATCATACTTATGTTTTCTGTACTACACTGTCATCAGTGGAGATGATGATGCATCAGATGGTGATACAGATATTTTATGTATTTAAGCTGGAAAGCACACTTGGCTCAAACCATACGCAGTTGTGTTGAAATATGTGTTGCATCTTTTTTGCCAGACATTTATAAAGGCAAGCTGTTACAGTGAATTTCAGCCTGTGTGGTAAGTTCTAACATTTGCACTCAAACCACTTTTGTCTGAATGAACAATATTTTTGAAGAAACACTTACTGCAAGTGTGCTGTACACATCATCAGAGGACCTGGACATGGGGTCAAGAGCTGTGTACGTGTCATCCTTAGCATTAGGGTCAACATTCTGGAGAGAGGAGAGTTAGAGAAAATTTTTACACTTTCAATGTTTCTTTTGAATGTTACTTTGTGAAAAGTTTTTTTTTTTTTTCAAGAGGTAACGGACTGTATTACATATATATCCTCCAGTAATGACTAATTTTAGATCAGTACTGCCATCTACAGGTGGAGATCTGTAATGACTCCAGCTGCTGGAGCTCCTCTACACTGCAGAGTGTAGTGTTTACTCTGCAATAACCCACTAAATCAACTCAACAGGTAAGAAACAACCTTCAGGAGTTTAATCAGATGAGTTACAGCAGCACAAACACTAAACTGTGCAGTTCAGCTTCACTCCAATAGTCTTTAACAGCTCACCTGGTGATCATCTTCCTCCATCGTCCTCTTCTTCTTCTTTACTTTGTACCTGCTTTCAGAAAAGAATTAATGCTTTACCAGCATGATTTACCATTGCACATGATTACATTGCTATGAACTGTATCACCACCATATATATTGTAATATTTTGTTTAGATAAAAGGCAAAGACTTGAAATATGACAAAATGTAGTCAGTAGTCAGTACATTCTAAAATATCCAAAAACTACATTTTGTTTAATTTTACAAATCTATAAATATATGTAAAGTTGTCTATTCTTACCATATCAATAAAGTAATGGCAATAAACACTGCAACCACACAGAGTCCAAGTCCAACCACCACATACAGAATCATGGAGAGTTCTGCTGAGAGACACATGTACAGAAAACCAGATGCCACCAAAAGGTCAGTAACGATCTAATAATTATTATGTGATGCATTTAATCTTCTTTAAGTACCTTTTACAGTGACAGTCACTGCAGCTGATCTCTGAGATCTGTGTTCATTCTGAGCCACACAGTAGTAGGATGCACTCTGTAGAGCACTGTAACTGTGTCCAGATCCTACAGGTGAGCTTCCACCTTCTTTAAACCAGGTGTAGTTCTGCACAGGTGGGTTTGCATCACTGCTGCAGGTCAGAGTCGCTGAACTGTCCTCTGCAGTTTCACTGATGGACACCAGGGCTTTCTTTGGAGCATCTAGAAACACAGAATGGCAGTAAAGCACCTTTAAGTATAGAAATAATTTCATATTATATACTTTCTGAAATTGACAAGCAAAACAAGAACTTACATAAAACTGTTAATGACTTGTACTCTGAGTATCGAGAACCTTGAGTGTTGGTTGCCATGCAGCGATATTCCCCACTATCTGCAGAGCTGATGTATGAGATGCTGTAGATCTGACTTGTTGATTTCTGCAAAGTTCCTTTATTCAGCTTCTTAAACCAGGCAAATTTCTGCACAGGTGGGTTTGCATCACTGCTGCAGGTCAGAGTCACTGAACTGCCCTCCACTATTTCACCAGAGGGACTGATGGACACTGAAATGCTCTTTGGAGGATCTAGAAATAAGAATATCACTCTAATGAAGACATTAGATATTTAGAACTACTACAAAATGTAGAGAAACAGAATGAATAACTGGAATAAGAGAACAAAACAGACTCACACAAAACACTCAGAGTTAGAGCTTCAGAGTGTTTCTCTATGTATCCATTACTGGATCTGCACTTGTATTCTCCACTGTCCACAGAGCTGATCTTGTTCATTGTGTAAGTCTCTCCTTTTGCTACTAAAGATGTTCCTTTAAACCAGTTATATTCCACAGGTGGGTTTGCATCACTGCTGCAGGTCAGAGTCAGTGAACTGCCCTCCACTATTTCACCAGAGGGACTGATGGACACTGAGATGCTCTTTGGGCCATCTAGAGGTAGAATCACACATTACACATTATGAGGGTGCTTTTCTTTTTGAATAAGTAAGCTTATAGCCCGGCAGAACGACCTCATGTTTATGGGCAGATGCCCATCATTAACTTCAGCATTTGAAGTTAGACTCATTTCACCAATTTTAAAGATGCATTGATACCATTTTTTTCAGACTGAATACGAGCAAAAAATACGAGAGTATTTTTTAGAACTAGCAGATACCGAGTCCGATACCATACTGTGTAACCTGCTCAGAATTAAAAACACTGTTAAAAAGGTGGTTCTTGAAGGGTTCTTTAGTAAAGTCAATGGTTTATATAGAACTATGAACACTCAAAGAACCATTTGCATGCCTAAATGGTTCTTTGCATGTGAAAATCTTCTTCAGATTGATGAAGAATGTGTTGTATTTGGTTCTATATAGAACATTTTTAAAAAGGGTTCTATAAAGCACCAAAAAAGGTTTTTCTATTGTTAACAAGCTTCATATCGTAACAATAGTAGAACCCTTTTGGTACTATATAGAACAAGTAGCAGTGGAGAAGACTGGGCTTTGTCTGAAAAGCACTTCTGTACAGCTGTAAACAAACAATGTTTCACAGTGTAGATGCTCCTCATCTGTCGACTTCAACAGCAGGAAACACATCCATGGCGAATGCATCCATGGAGCTAATAAGTGGAGTTTTTTGTCTTCTCTGAGTTTTTTAATTGGCTAGTTGAGGAGTAGTTGAATGCCCTATCAAGCCAGACATACACTGTGTGATTTACAAATCTTGTTCTTTGGTGAGTCACACTGTATGTTGGAATAGACCATTGTGTGCATAAGATTAATGCACTCACACTGTACGAAAACACGCCTGATTGACATGCTTTGTGAAACACAGCCTCTACATAAAGAAACAAACAGACTTTGGTAGCAAATGTCGACTCTTTTTTTCCTCCGTTTAGCTGGCCTGCCATGTCTCCACCCATATTAGGGAAGCGGCTGTGGTTGTGTTTGTGTGTGTTTATAGACAGGCTAAAATCACACAGTGTATTCCACCAAGGCAGAATGTTCAACGTGACCAGCAACTTTGTGTGTGACTCACACACAAGTCAGTAACACTTCTCTGTGAGAGCAGAGCCTCCTACACTGCTTTTGTTCATTAGTGTGGCAATGTAAATGCAGCTTACATCACAGTATGTTAGTATCAGTGAATTGTTATGAGTGTAATTATGAGGAAATGAGCACAGCACCGCCTGATACATGATACCAGTATTGGTATTGATTGCATCCCTAACCAAAACACTCAGAATTACTCCTATTCTGAACTCTTCTTGGTTCTATGAAAATGTAAAATATAGACTGACACCATTAGATATACAACCCTATTTCCAAAAAGGTTGGAATGCCGTGCAGCATGTAAATCAAAATAAAATGCAGATGTGCAAATCATGCAAACTATATTTTTAAAGGACAATACTACAAAGACAACATATAAAATGTTGAAACTGAGAATTTATTTTTTTTTTTTAAATATATGCCTGTTTTGAATTTGATGCCAACAACACGTTCCAAAAAAGTTGGGACGGGGGCAGGTTTACCACTGTGTTTCATCACCTCTTCTTTTAACAACACTCTGTAAGCGTTTGGGAACTGAAGAGACACTGCTTTTGAAGGTAAAATGTTTTCCCATTCTTGTTTGATATAGGATTTCAGCTGCTCATCAGTTCGGGGTCTCCTTTGTCATATTTTTCATTTCATAATGCGCCAAATGTTTTCAGTGGGTGACAGGTCTGGACTGCAGGCAGATCAGTTTAGCACCAGGACTCTTAATACAGAGCAATGCTGTTGTAATACATACAGAATGTGGTTTGACATTGTCTTGCTGAAATAATCAAGGCCTTCCCTGAAAAAGACGTCGTCTGGATGGCAGCATATGTTGACAAAACATGTATATATCATTCAGCACTAATGGAGCCTTCACAGATGTGCACGTCACCCATGCCATGTGCACTAATGCACCCCTATACCATCATGAATACTGGCTTTAGAACTGTGCACTGATAACAAGCTAAGTGGTCTTTAGCCTGGAGGACACAGTGTCCATGATTTCCAAAAAGAATTTCAAATGTTGATTCGTCGGACCACAGGACATTTCTCCACTTCCCCTCAGTCCATTTTAAATGAGCACAGGCCCAGAGAAGGTGGCAGCATTTCTGGATTCTTTGTATGTATGGTTTCTTCTTTGCGTTTTAGAGTTTACACTTGCATTTGTGGATGCAGTGATGAACTGTTTTCACAGATGGTGGTTTTCAGAAGTGTTTCTAAGCCCATGTAGTGATTTCCGCTAGAGAATCATGTCTGTTTTTAATGCAATGCTGCCTAAGGGCCCAAAGATCACAGCCATATGATGTGTTGACTTTGTACTATTTTCAATTAAGTATAGGGTTTAAATGATTTGCACATCATTGCAATTTGTTTTTATTTATATATGCACAGCATCCCAACTTTTTTGGGAATGGGGTTGTACTTTTGAAGTATCACACTGAGCAGCAGCAGGAGATTCAAGATGTTTCCATCCTCTTACAGCAAGGCTTTAACTTACTTTAAATAATAAAAAAATACTTCATGAGCTCAGCTGTGTGTACTGAACAGGATCTCCAGAACTGAGATTAGAAACCACTGTTTAAAGGTTGTGTATGCTGCTTGTATCAGTATGTCATGAGAACTGTAGAGATTTCTATGTATATTCAATTTGCTCATTCATTTATTATTTTGTGGAGAGAGAACAGTGATGCTGCATCAGCTGAGGGTTAAAAACAGTTCAGTATGAACCCTCAGCTTTTTTTGTTTTCTGAAACTGAATAAATTAATCTGTACTTACATCTGACATTCAGAGTGACCTCAGGAGAGTGAAGTTTCTCTAACAATGATCACAGCCATAGAAACCGATTCTAGATCAGCACTTTTACTGTGACACAATGTTTTTATGAGAATAAATAAATAAGTAATTCTGAATGAAAGAATCTGTACTTACATCTGACATTCAGAGTGACCTCACTTGAGTTCTGACCCCGTACAGCACATCGATACCTGCCTGCATCCTCCCTGCTGACCGACTGCAGGTGGAGTTGGTCTTTACTGGAGGATAAATTATGTCCATTTCTGTACCAGGAGAATGTTGGTCTGACTGTCAGACTGCAGGTGGTTTTACATGTGAGAGTGACTTTATCTCCCTCTATCACTCTCTCAGGAACCTCCACCTGGAGATCTGAGAACAAGAGAAAACAAACTCATACTGTAGAGACTCACACTAGCTGTATGACTGTCACTGCTGTCTTAAATGTTTGTACACAAAAGTTACACCACAGTTAAACTTAAGGTTTGCACCTCCAGTTTGACTTTAATATACAAATATACTTCATTTTTACGTTTTTGTTTAATGAATAAGTTAAACTGGTGAACTACTGCTAATACAGCGCTGTTAAACACCTCAGTGTGCTGAACAACTCTGACTAATGTTCTACAGTTAACAGCTTATTTATTTCCTACTTTACACAGAATTGACTCTTTCGACTAATAGACTAGAATTTCTGCTCTGTAGGAGTTCATTTAGTGCTACAGTTACCAACAAATCCCAGTGCACAGTACAACAAAACAGGTTGCAAACTCATGAATGTGATGCAAATACAGAAAACAGTTTCATCATCATGACTACACCTAAACTACATTTTTCAAAAGCCCTACAAATACAGACAACACATGCTACTTCAGAAACCAGTCACAACATGACAGAAATGTTTCTGGAAGACTTTCAAAGTGGATGGAATATCTGTGATGGAACATCACTGACAGAAGTTGAAAAGACCACAGAGACTCACATCCCCTTAAGTTCATGGTTAACGTAGGTAGCTAGTTAGCTGTCTGACATATCATACCTATATTATGGCAGTCATCAGTCATACCTGGTATTGCTACAGTACTGTGAAAACATATTTGCCCCTTCTCAATTTCTTATATTTTTGGCATATTCGTCACACTTGATTGTTGCAGATCACACTACTTCTAATATTAGACAAAGATTACTCAACAGAAAATGTCTTTTAAATGACGATTTAATTTATTGGAGGAAAAATGGTGTTCAGTCCTACCTGGCACTGTGTGAAAAAGTAATTGCCCCCTTAGCTACTAAATCAACCAGTTAACCAAATTCAATTGACTATTGTATTTAACTTCACTAGCCTCACCCAGGAATGATTACTTTCAGAACTGTTGAATCTAAACCTCACTTAAATAGAATCTGTCTGGAAATGTGAAGCAGTCTAGAAGGTCTCAAAAAGCAGTACATGATCCCACATTCTAAAGAGATTCAAATACAGATGCGAAACAAAGTCATTAAGATCTACCAGTCTGGAAAGGGTTACAAAGTCATTGCTAAGGCTCTGAGACTCCAGCAAACCACACTGATAGCTGGTTTCCACAAATGCAAAAAATTTGAAACAGTGGTGAACCTTCCCTGGAGTGGCCGACCTACCAAAATTTCACCAAGAGTGCATCAATGATTCATCCAGGAGGTCACAAAAGAGCCCAGACAAACATTTAAAGAGCTGCAGGCCTTTAGTAAAGGCAAAAATTACATCCATGGCAGAGTTCCAAGGCTTGTCTCGAATTTACCAAAAAACATCTAGATGACCCCCCAAAACATTTGGGATAATATTCTGTGGGCTGATGAGTCAAAGGTAAAACTTTTTTGAAGACATGGGTCCCGTTACATCTGGCATAAAGCCGACACCACATTCCACCATAAGAACATCATAGCAACAGTCAAACGTGGAGGTGGTAGTGTGATGGTCTGCGGCTGCTTAGTTTCTGCAGGACCTGGACGATTTGTCATAATTGTTGGAACCATAAATCCTGCTCTCTAGCAGAAAATCCTGAAGGAGAATATCTGCCTATCAGTTTGTCACCTAAAGCTCAAGAACAGTTGGGTTATGCAGCAGGACAATGATCTGAAGCGACCATGCAAGTCCACCTCTGAATGGCTCAAAAAAAACAAAATGAAAGTATTGTAGTGGCCGAGTCAAAGTCCTGACTTGAATCACATTGAGATGTCTATGCATTTGAAGCATGTTGTATTATTTTAGATACATTTCATGTATATATTATTTAGAGCTTTTGTCAAATGCAGCACATATCTTCTCATGTTGATGAAAATATTTTCTGTGTTTGCAGCTCGTTTTTTATTTTGTAATGCAATTAGTCTTGCTGGCCACTTTGGTAAATGAAATCTGAACTAGAATTCAAAGTACTGAACACTGGTTCTGCACTTCTAAGCAGTGTTTCTCAGGTGTTCTATGAAGGATTGATGTAATTATATCATAAAACTGCTTTGTGAATCCTGAACACCAGTGAATGAAGTACAGTGTCTTAGTTCTGCTGATGGATCTTACCTGTGACTGAAAGATCAACTCCACCTGCACCTTGATACTTTCCTCCAGGTTGGTCTGTTAGAAATCTGAAGTAGTATTTCCTTTGATCCTTTTCCGTTACATCACTCAGTCTGAGAGTGCAGTAGTTGAATTTATCTCCAAGGTACTGAACTCTGCCTCTGTACTCTGGATCATCTAACAGATCAGGTGGTTCTGCACCTCTAATCCAGTATTTGGTCCAGAAAGCTTTTTGTACTGAATGACCACTGGGACATGAATAAGTGCAGCCCATGGTCACATTAGATTCTTTTAGAGCACAGATAGATTTAGAGTTGTAATACACACTCCACCCATCCTGGGCAAAAACTCCTACAAAACAAAATGTAGAAATTGTTATTATATTACAAATTATTACTGTTTGGGTCTTAGTCAGTAAAAATGCTGCATAAAGTCTCCACTTCAGCTCATTTCTTAATTTCAGCCGAGTTTGAATAATCAGCTGCAATAAGGCAGCCCAAGTCAGCAACCCAAGAAGAGCCTTTAACCAAAAATCAAACTACCTTGGGAGCCACAACATTTTATGTCCATTTTAGCATCTTAGCTGTAAATATGTCTCAGTATGAGCTAATGTACTAGTATAGGCTAAAACGAAAACACAAACTTACTTTAGTCTGCTTTAACCTTTAAATCAGATATAGCCACTTTTCCCGCATCTCCAACAGGAAACTTTTCCTCAAAAGTAGAACAGTTTACGTAAAATGTCTCTCAATATTTGATTTTTGTTACGAGGCTGAAGTCAGCTTGTTCGAATTTTCCCATTCCATCTTAAATGGTGCCTGAGGCACCATAATGTAACTGATGCACTATTTAAGATGGAATGGGAAAATTCAAACAAGAAGCTGGTGAATGGGAAACTGACTTCAGCTTTTTGACTTTTTAGTGTTTGACAGTTTCTTGCTGCAGTTTAAACGTATCAGGAAACCAGATGGAGTGATTATACACGCAAATAAGTCCATTCATCTCCAAATTATCAATGTTTATCTTCCCTCTTTCTCTTTGCCTTTTTTGTTAGCTACTAGCTAGGCTAAATTGTTGTCTGCATTGCTATGGTGACCAACATTGTCTGTGTGCCAATCTTCAGGGTTAAAGGGTGAATTAACAGTCACACATTAACTCCAGCATTTAAGATCTGTTGTTAAACTGTGTTGAACGATCAGCAGAGCTTTATTTTTATTGCAAAGGAGGATTATTTTATGTTTAACTAAAAATCTAATTCTGCTGTGGAGCCACAACAGGGCAGTAAACCAGTTGCATGTTGCCGATCCTTGGTATAGAGAATAAATATCTTCCTATAAATTTGAGGGAGGCAGTTTAGATTTTGGTGTGAAGTAACAGCTCCAACTCACCTGAGATGAAGAGCAGAAACAGCAGAGAAACAGTCAGAGACATCCTGAGATCAGGAGTGCAGCCTGTCTGATCATAACACAAACAACAAAATACTCTTGATTTGCATAAATATCACAAATGTTGTTTCAAGTATCATCAACACGTATAAATCTGCAAAGAGCTGTGAGTTATACATGCAGTTTCTTCATTGTCTATTAAAGTCTTTTATGTATTAAGCATATTTCTAGAGGCCTTACATTATATACTTATTATATTTGTTATATTATTTCTTATATTACTTCCATTAACTACCATGATTCATTCATTCTTTTACAGGCAAAATTAACAGAGACCAAAACTCAATCTACTCTTGTTAAACTTAAGACAATACAAAAGTTAATCTGTTAACTATTAATGAGTCATTCTTTACTAACTGAACAAGCACAAGTATTTTCTTACCTTTGTTAAGTGATATTCGTCTTCTAAAGCCAAAGAACCATTGAGGAGAACAGAAGGAGCTTCGTCAGTTTAAACAGTCGCCTGAATGTGGTTGAAGTGTTTTCTTCTCGAACATCCTGACAAATGTTCTTCCTGGTTTCACTGAATCAGTCCTTCATTCTTAGTACACATGATATACACATTAACATTAAAACTGAAGCAAAAATTAAATATCAAACAATTACTGGAAGAATTATTTCATATTGAAGAATATTAAAAAGCCAACAATGAGATTATGAACATTTTCACATTTAATCAACCAGCTTGTTTTCTGTGTGGGTGACTTCAGCTTGACCAGCATCTCTGTTTTTTCACATTAGAACTTCCTTTGTCTCTGAGCACTCAGACCACAACTCATCTGAGTTACTACCAAAATAACACACACAGCATTGTGGGTTGGAGGTTGTATGATGTCATGCATTTTCTCCACTGATGATCACTGAAAGCTACATCTTCCTCCATTCTGTTCATCAGTATCAGTACCCGAGGAAGATGAAGATGAAGTGGACTTTTCCTTCCAGAGTCCAGCATTAATGTTGATGGTAAACTCTTTCAGTTGTGAAGGACTTTTAGTCAGTTATTCTTTACCAGAGGTGTCAGTAACAATTACATTTACTCTCATTACAGTTATTGAGTACAGTTTTCACTGTAACGGTACTTTTTGGAGTAGAATTAAATCATAGTACTTTTGCTTGAGTTAATTTTTAATAAAATACTTGTACTTAAAAAAGTAGCAGCTCCAGCAGGAAAAACACTACAGAGATGTCCAGTTTAGTGGAGAAGGATAGAGGAGAACTAAACCAGCTCACACAACGAACAGACCACGTCCAAATGGTCATCTGTATCAACACTGCACAGTGATTCTGTCACACTGTCGTTGACTGGCCTGATCTGACCTCTCCCCACCTCCCTGTCCTCTCTCTCTTCCTCTCTCTCTCTCTCCCTCTGTCTCTCTGTCTCTTCCTCTCTCTCTTCCTCTGCCTTGGTGTTTGTCTTTAATTGTGAGAGGCTGTGTAGCTGTTTAACTGTGAAATGCAGTAATAATGTCTGATTCTGTATGAAGTGATCAGCATGATTAGTGAAATATATTACAGTAAAATTCAAAGCTGGGTGAGTTGCTGATGTTGCTGTTGATTTTAACGGTAGAACAGATATCAGTGAAAATACACAGTCTGATGTGAATGTGTTTACTGTATGTAGAGGTTCACACCTGTTATCGTAAGCTAGAGTCCAGGGAGCTGATGGGCAGCAGGACTAAAATTACAGTATTAATTGAGCAATTTACTCAGAATTTTGACTTCTAACCATGAAATGCATGCAGTTTAATGTAAACCTTGTTCCTTACACAGCTCACAGAAAGGTGTGTAAATGTGCTCTAGCAGAGCTAACTGTGATCAGTCTCAGCTCTCAGAACTTTAGCTGTAGTATAATCTTTCTGTACAGATTATTTCCAGTGATGTAGCTGAGTCAGCTCAGAAATATGTTCAGGTTGTGACAGCGGAAATATAAAAAAAAAGTAACTTCTTATTTACTCTTACGTGAGTAATTTTATATACTAATACTTTTACATGTACTTGATTAAATTATCACTAAAGTAACAGTACTTGTACCTGAGTAGGGATTTAGTACTCTTTCAGTACTCTTTACACCCCTGTTCTTCACTGTCTGCTCAGTTCACTCGTGCTATTTGCTCTTCTTACAGCAAATGTAAAAAGTGCTGCTCATCTCCTCTCAGAGCTGCTTCAGGATCAGATTCCTCCCTGTTTTATATCTCAGTCTCAGAATCAGATCCTAGCCCAGCAGTGCTGCTCTGACAGGCCTTGTGTGCAACATTTAAAAGTAGAAACACTACATGGGCAGTATTTGGAGTGGTGTCACTACCTGTTTATCTTGTGTATTAAATTAATCTCATCCAGATTTAGAATCAGGAAGAAGCAGTGAGTCAAACCAGCCTCAGCACAGCACACATTTTTATCAAGCAGTAATTAGACAAACATCAGTTGAGTAGGTTGTTGTAAATGTTTAATAGATAAATATGAAGCCCTTGTGCTTTAACTCTTGTTATACTTTCCAAGAATTATACGTTCCAAGATTAAACGAAATCCTAGACTAAAAAGAATAAGGACAGATATTCACCATTAGTACTGCTATTTAGTCTGAGACTAGAGTTTATACATGTCTGGGAAACCAGCCCTCAATGACATAAAAAATTACATTTTTGGCAACAATTAATACATTCTTGATGTCAGAGTTGGTTTATCTTTTTCTGTTCATTCACACTGCCATCTAGAGGAATGTAGCTGTAATTACATGCAAACTGTACTATAAGGCCCATCACTGACTGACATATCTGGAGCTCTATATCAGCTCACCTGACACTTCATACATCACAAGCACTTTGGTAAGAAATTACAGAGTACAGTATACTTTCTAGAGTACACTTTATGTTTATGGTTCACTTTCATTGGTACACTTCATGAACTCCATGGTGTAGTTACAGTTGCATGTTGTGTCCTATAGAGGTCGTAGGGTCCAGTACATGGCCAGGATTAAATTTATGGCTTAAAACAGTGTTGTTAAAAATTCAGAGAATATTTGGTTTAATCTTCTTAAACATTTAGATCAAAGATTGGTCTTGGTTCCAAAGCAAACAAACCACAAGGTTATTTAACTGAGTTTTATTACAAAAAAGAAATGGCATCTAATGGATTGTCCTGGTGATTAAAGTTTAAGGCAGCTCAAACTGTCACTGCTGATCTTGGCACAAATATCCTTCTGAAATAGTGAAATTCAGGTCCAGTAAACATTCACTTGTTATCAGGACTGATCCACTAAACGGTCATAGGAACAACAAGGAATGAGTGGTTAACACCCAACTGATAGAGTAAGTCCTGTTTCGCTGCTGTTTCTGATAGACATAGATGAAATTTGTGTCCATAGGTCATAACATTGTTCTTGAACAGAATTGCAGCAGCATAAAGTTGTTTACTTTATGCTGCTGTATATCACCGAGACATCGTCAAGCGTGGAAACTGCTGATCTGCAACCACATGGCAAACACAGTGTGATCCACCTAAAACTGTAATATATATATATATATATATATATATATATTTTCAGTCTATTTCAGTCCAAATAAGAGACTCAAATATTTTGATAAGTTTGGCTTCTCTCACCTGTCTGTAGCACCAGTGCGAGTAAATCTTACAGTAGTGTACTGAACCTCGTCCTCTTCAGTCTTCTCTACCACTTTATCACAGTGGTGCTGGACGCTGGTGTACTGAACCTCCTCATCAGTCCCAGAAGCTGTCACTGCAGAGCTCTCAGCATTCCTGGGGTTTCTGACTTTACGGGGTACAACACTGGCATAATGGACATCATCCTGATTGGACGGATCTGGATCATGTGTTGCATCACTAGTTGCAGATCTTACTGTCACACTGCTGTACAGAAGTTCCTGAAGTGAGACATAATGACACGTGATAAATCAGACAAATTATCTCAGAAAGTAAGACTCTTAAGACTTCTTTTTAATACATGTGTCAAATGGATTCTGAAGTGATTGTTTATGTTTTTCTTCTTGGTGATTTGATGTGCACCTGTGTATTAATTACCTATTTTCTCATTTTCTCTCTATATCAAACTAGCGATAAGCACTATTTAGAACACAGTAGTCCTAAATAGTTGATCTTGATTTTTTGATTTTTCATCAAAAAAGAAAATCAAAAGAAAACACTGCAGGAAACACTGCAACAAAATGTGGCATGTTGTGTTTCTTTTGACTTGCCTGTCTTTGTTTTGATGTATTAGCTGAATCACCATGTCTCTTTTTCCTAACATGCATCAATAATAAAAAATAATAATAAAAATAATGTCAAAATTGGCTCAGTTGGTGGAAACAATAAATGAAGGTAACATAAAATGATATGCATACATGTACCTTACACATACAACAGCAATGATGACAGATAAACATCCACATCCAGCAATGACCCCAACAACAGCAAACAGAACAACACTATTAATCGCTGTGTGCAGAGAAATTTTAAAATCAGTTGAGAATTACAAGTTTTTTAAAAAAGTTGTGTTATAAACTGTTATAATTTTATTGGGAGGTTAATTAAAATTCTTTCACCAATAATACTTTTTACAGAAACAGTCACTGCAGCTGATTTCTGAGATCCGTATTTATTCTGAGCCACACAGTAGTAGGATCCACTCTGTAGAGCCCTGTAACTGTGTCCAGATCCTACAGGTGAGCTTCCACCTTCTTTAAACCAGGTGTAGTTCTGCACAGGTGGGTTTGCATCACTGCTGCAGGTCAGAGTCCCTGAACTGCCCTCTGCTGTTTCATTGATGGACACCAGGACTTTCTTTGGAGCGTCTAGAAAAGTAAAATGGCAGTGGAGCATCTTTAAGTACAGAGATGTTGTTAGATGAGATCAGTTTTTAGATTTCAGAGTTACATGAGTAATAAAGAAGCAGAATAAAAGCTTACATAAAACTGTTAATGACTTGTACTCTGAGTATCGAGACCCATGTGTGTTGGTTGCCATGCACTGATATTCCCCACTATCGGCAGAGCTGATGACTGTGATGCTGCGGAACTGACTTGGCCATTTCCAAAGGATTTTATTGTCCAGCTTCTCAAACCAGGTGTAGTTCTGCACAGGTGGATTTGCATCACTATTGCAGGTCAGAGTCACTGAACTGCCCTCCACTATTTCACCAGAGGGACTGATGGACACTGATACATTCTTTGGAGGATCTAGAGTTAGAATGACACATTACACTTCATGGGGCTGATTCTCCATTTTAATAACTAAGCTTATAGACCTGGAAAAATGCCTGATGTTTATTTTCAGATACCAATCAGGAACGTCAGCATTTGAAGTTTACTGTTGTTGCAGATTAATGATTTGTTTTACCAAAACACTCTGAATTACTCTTATCCCAAACTTCTATCCTCTTACAGCAAAGCTTTAACTAACTAATACTAAACCCTTCATGTCGTGTGCATTTACTCATTAGTGTATTACTTTATAAAGAGATATTAGTGATGCTGGATCAGCTGAGGGATAAGCTGTATCATAAACAGTTGAACATGAACCCACAGCTTTGTTTGTTTTCTGAGACTGAATGAATGAATCTGTACTTACATGTGACATTAAGAGTGACCTCAAGAGAGCGAAGGTTCTGACCCAGTACAGCACAGTGATACCTGCCTGCATCCTCCCTGCTGACCGGCTGCAGGTGGAGTTGGTCAGTACTGCAGGATAAACGATGTCCATTTCTGTACCAGGTGAATGTTGATCTGACTGTCAGACTGCAGGTGGTTCTACATGTGAGAGTGACTTTATCTCCCTCTATCACTCTCTCAGGAACCTCCACCTGGAGATCTGAGAACAAGAGAAACAAATTCACACTGTGGAGACTCACACTAGCTGACAGGCACCTATAAATGATGTAAAAAATAATAATAATAATAAATTGGTAAACAAAAAATGCTCCTTCCAACAATCAAATTCAACTGACCTCATGAACATGTTTAAGGGAATCCAGTCCAATAATGTGCCTTTGACTGCAACCAAGACCAAGTTGGTCGCACTCAAAGACCAAGTTGTGTTTTCCAACACTAGGCTAACTGAGGCTCTATAAGCAGTTGTATCATCTCAACATAAACTGAAAACATAAACTGAAGTCTTGTACTGGAAGTATGAGTGATTACGATCTCTTGGACAGGAATGCCATAGAAATGAATGAATTTGGAAGACTAAATTAACAATACAATATCAATTACTGAAAAACTCTACACATCTATTTAACATGGCAATGCGCTCACAGAGGCAGCAGTACTTCTTAAAGATTATCAGTCATAATGGAAATAACCCCAAGTTTTTTCTCCACAACAGACAGACTTTAAAACCCTCACCAATAATGAATGAGTTATCTTCATCTATATGTGAGGAATTTGCTCTTAAGACTAAGATAATTAATATTAGGTCCTGCATTCACTCCACAATAGCAGTGATTTTAATCAAATTAATGAAGTTGAGCTTTGCTCTGTTGTTTCTCAGTTGAAGTCCACTATGTGCACCTTGGATCCAGTTCCAAACTTCTTCTTTAAACAGGTTTTTGATTCCCTTTGCAGCACTGTTTTAAATAGTAATAACAGTATTTTTATCAGGGTCCTGCTGCAAGACCACTTCTCAAGGCATCATGAGCAACTACAGAGCAAGTTCCAATCTGCCCTTTCTGGGCTAAATCATAGAGAAAGTAATGCATCAGCTGAATGTTTCTTCCTATGTAACACACATGAAAAAATTCAGTCGGGCTGAAAATCAGAAACAGATTTGGTAAAAGTAGTTAATGACCTCGGACAGAATACTGACAATAATAAAATATCAGTCCTGTTGGTTTTTACTGCGGCATTTGATACTGTGGCGTCCTGCTGCTGGCTGGCGCCAGCACCTGAGACTGTGGAGGTGTGGCTGTGCAGATGATCACACGCAAAGGCTCATGATAGCACGCACCCATCACCAAAGGCACTAAATGTTGGTGTTTATTGTGTTGTCTGGTAGTTATAGTTATGGGTGACTTGTGTTGTTTGGTGTCAGGGCCTGTGGGTTTTGTGTGTGTGAGGGGGGGCACTGTCAGGGAGAAGAAAATGGCTATTGGTGACCTCCCCCACAGTTTCAGTGGTCTGCATCTGCCCTTTTCTGCCTGTGTGTTTAATAAAGAGCGTTTCTTTTAGCAGTGGGTATTGCAGGAGGAGAGGCTCATTGACGAAGTCGACGCAACGTGGCATAACAGTGGGGCTGGTTTGCAAGAGGCCGGAAAAAAATTAAACCAAAAGTAAAACCATTAAAGCTTTCAGTGTGGGAGAACTGCCGCGAGCAGCGGAGCAGTTGCAGGGAGATGCCGGCTGAGGAGGTTCAGGGTCGGTCACCAGCAGTGGAGACAAAGCTACAGCACGCATAAGTGATGTTCGAAGCAGCATTAATGGTGCAGTGGGAGCAGATGGGCTGGGACGAGTGCCGCTGCTGCTATTGTGGTTTCTAGTCTTATTTTATTGTATTTAATCATTTAGTTTAACATCACTTTCATTAATTTATGCAATGTTTTATTTGTACTGTTGAAAATATATATTTAGAATATTAGTTTTATTCCTGCCTCTTTTTACTCAGTAATTTCTGACTTTTCCTTATGTTTTTATGTAAAGTGCTTTGAGCTGCATTTCAAAGATTATATATCTATAAAGTTTATTATTATTATTATTATTATTATTATTATCATTATTATAATGTACATGGAAGTGAATGTTAAACACCTGTGCTGCTGATCAACTTTGACTAATGTACAACAGTTAATGAACTACTGCTAATACAGCGCTGTTAAACACCTCAGTGCACTAACCGACTCTCACTAATGTACTACAGTTAATGAACTACTGCTAATACAGTGCTGTTAAACACCTCAGTGTGCTGACCAACTCTGACTAATGTACTACAGTTAATGAACTACTGCTAATACAGTGCTGTTAAACACCTCAGTGTGCTGACCAACTCTGACTAATGTACTACAGTTAATGAACTACTGCTAATACAGCGCTGTTAAACACCTCAGTGTGCTGATCGACTCTGACTAATGTACTACAGTTAATGAACTACTGCTAATACAGCGCTGTTAAACACCTCAGTGCACTAACCGACTCTCACTAATGTACTACAGTTAATGAACTACTGCTAATACAGCGCTGTTAAACACCTCAGTGCACTAACCGACTCTCACTAATGTACTACAGTTAATGAACTACTGCTAATACAGCGCTGTTAAACACCTCAGTGTGCTGACCAACTCTGACTAATGTACTGCAGTTAATGAACTAATGCTAATACAGCGCTGTTAAACACCTCAGTGTGCTGATCAACTCTGACTAATGTACTACTGTTAACAACACAGTTATACAGACTCATATCTGCTTTGTAGGAGTTCAAGGAATTCATTTAACTCTGAGAATCTAATGCAGCCGAGAATAAATATAAAGCATATCTGGACCGAATTCATCAGTTCTAAGCAGTGTGTACCTCAAGTGTGTTCTGCTGATGGATCTTACCGGTGACTGAAAGATCAACTCCACCTACACCTTGATACTTTCCTCCAGGTTGGTCTGTTACAAATGTGAAGTAGTATTTACTTTGATCCTTTTCTCTAACATTCTTCAATATAAGGGTGTCATTGTGTTGTTCATCTCCGAGGTACTGAACTCTGTCTCTGTACTCTGGATCATCTGACAGATCAGGAGGTTCTGAACCAGATGTAACCAGCTCTTTAGTCCAGAAAGCTTTTTGGACTGAGTGATTACTTGAATATGCGTAAGTGCACTCCATGGTCACTTCAGACCCCTTTAGAGCACAGATAGATTTAGGGTTGTAATCCACAGCCCCCCCATCCTGAGCAACAAATCCTGCAACACAAAACACAGAAATGTGTAAATTATTACTGTTTGGGTCTCAGTCAGTAAAAATGCTGCATAAAGTCTCCACTTCAGCTCATTTCTAAGACTATTCATTTCAGCTGAGTTTGAATGATCAGCTGCAATTCAGAATAGTATGTGTGTGTGTGTGTGTGGGGGGGGGTTGTAAAAATAAACTATATAAAAACAAATGCATAACTGTACACAGTTCAGTGAGAAGTAACAGCTCTAACTCACCAGACATGGAGAGCAGAAAGAGCAGATGAACAGTAAGAGACATTCTGAGATCAGCAGTGCAGCCTGTGTGATCATAACACATACAACAATCTGTTTACGTAAATGTTAACTCAAACGTAAACCACTT